AAGTACTGAGGTAAGACAACTTTGATTCCAATGCTAAATATAGTCTGTTTGATAAAATGTGCTTATAGAAAGATAGATACTGGTTCCCATTTGTAAGTTATTATATGTTTTCATTACTCTGGGCTGAGCCAAGAGAGAGAGAGAGCGAGAAGTGCGTATGTGACGCGTCTGGACGCGTATGTGACACGCGTTTCAGACTGTCACCGGACTGTCATTTGCAAATTACGGTCTGCCTGCTGCTGGCCCATCCACAGAGCTACATTACGCTGTTTCAGATTAAAACGTCTTTGATTATGATGACTTATAAAGCCATAAAGATGCTGCAGGCCCAGCAGACCCAAAGAGAGTCGGTGTATAGTCCATTTAAAGAGAACATCAGGGCTTTAAGTTGATAATTCTCTATAGGAAAGAGTTCTTTCATTATATTTGTGACAGTGATGAAATCTAGCCCCCAATACTTTTAGTCTGTTTTTCACTGGCAAGAACCTTTAGGTGTTTACCTTTTTAAATGGTTTGCTATCTTAAATGGCTAAACCTAACACTTACCTGTTTTATTTAGGCACCTCCATGCTGCATGTTGGCTGGTTCTGATTGGCTACCTGTTGGATTTGGCAGATGGTGCAGTTGCCAGGCAACTCGATGCCTGCTCTGCACTGGGTAAGTGGAGCGCTGTGGTCAGTAGCTCTTACTAAAGATAAACTTCAAACGGGGTGTAGTCAGGGCTTTCTGCACAGACCTTTTTCTGGACAATATAATTTGGAGCCAGTAAAAAGAAGCACACCATTGGAATAGTCATACAAAGTTTCCAAAAGGAGAATCATATATATGTTATATAATGTAAATCTACCTCTATGAAATCACTGTCTTGTTAGTGTCTGTATTTCTAAAGACTTTGCAAGTTGCACATTTTAATTTTTAGGGTTTAGTTGTCAATGTAAACAGCATGGCATTCCCTGTGGGGTTCCCCTTAAGTAAGAAGCACCAGTTGCACATACACAGCATATAAAGTTCACCATTTGTTTTCAAAAGATCAAAACATCATATACAGAAAAATAATCTGAAGGAACCAATGGCTATTTTGACAGTTTACTTCAAAGTTCACATTTTTTTCAGAAACCCAAAATAGCTTCCAGCTGCATCACAGCACATCACTGCCTGCACAGGAGGCTTTGTGTTTTTCTGCATGACTTTGCAGGTGGCTGTTGTTGCCCCCTACCTATTTTGACCTATCACTTTCTGATTAAGCAGCCTAATTCCACAGGATCATGCTTCAATTTTCTATGTTATCCTGTTGCTTTGGCTACTCTGCATATCTGAAATTTCTAGCATGGTTGACCCTGGGTGTTGGAATTCCACCTCGTTCATCTGGACTTGAATCCCATCACCCTCGTCTGCTGACAACATGCTCCTGAGGGATAAAAAGACAAGACAGTAGAGAATGTTATTTACAGAATAGCTGCCTGTTGAGCTGACACTGAAATTTTTTCACATGCATACACCACTACCAGTCACGGTCGTGCATTGATAACATGACAGTGGCCATACTGGAGAGATGATGACGTAGCTGCACTGGCTTTTATAAAATGTAAAGTCATGATGGAGTGCTGTCACATTTGATGCATCCATCCATCCATTTATTTTCCTCCGCTTATCCGGGATCGGGTCGCGGGGGCAGCAGTCTAAGCAAAGATGCCCAGACTTCCCTCTCCCTGGACACACCCGACAGCATAGCTCCTAGGATCACTCGGGTACTCAAACTCCTCCACCACAATAAGGTGGCGGTTCAAGGAGGGGGCTACAATAATAACATAGTTAACATTGTAGCCTTTCTAAATCAGACTGATTGGCAGAGAATATATATTTTATTCAGTATGGATGAAGTCTGAGTCCTAACGCTAATAACAATGCATGTCTAACTGTAAACATCACAGAATGACATAGATTAACATTTATTTTTCATGCCCAGGTGCAAAGCTAGATGAATTTGCAGACTTCACAAACTTCGGGATTGCCACATCATTGCTCCTGAGGACACCTGACCTGCTGGATAACATCCTGAGCATGTGTTATGTCCTGACTGTGCTCATCCGCCTCTGTTTCTTCTCAAGTGGTAGGTTCCAAAATTAAGGATTATTGTGTGTTGTGGGTTATATATTTGATATTGTCTGACAGGTTTATCCCATCAAACATTTTTTCATTGTGTTTTCTCTGTCAGTTTACTCCAGTGTTATTACTTAAAGGACTTGCAGGAGATTTTGTTTGTTTGTTTTAGGGATCCCATTTATGTACCGTGGCCTGCCCTGCACCTACTCCTCATGCATCCTGGCCAGTGCCTCTCTGCTGCCAGGGGGGACCGTGGCCATGCTGCAGGTCATTGCAGTGGCCATGATCCTCTTCATGATCAGTCAGACCTTCTACCCCCATGACAGAGTGCTGGAATCCCAGGCCTGGAAGAAAGTAGTCTATGCTGGAGGTAAATCCAACTCATCTTCTCCTTTGGTAGACAGTACAGATGCTGAGAGTAATGTCTGCCAGGTAGATAGGTGTTGTGGAAAAATTACCTTTTAAAGCTCAGTGAGTGTAAAATAAATACTTAACATCAATTCTGAAAGTTATTACATATTTATTCCTGCAGGAAGGAGGGTTCTCTGAACAGAGTGTCTAAACCAGTCTGTTACAGGGAAGGTCAATGAACAGAATGTGACTGCCCTTCTTATACCCAGCATGCTATAACAGAAAACAGATGCTCAACCAGATAAGTCAAACAGGAGGTTATTTACTATGGGATACCAGCTCTCAGGTCTCAGGTCACATCTGGTTTTTCTCTCTCACAAGGTCATGCAAAGGTTTACGATCATGTGATATACATCTAGTAATGGATTACAAGGTAAATAACCACTAAAAGGGTACTATCGTAAAAATTGCCACCACAATAGGTGGCAATAGATAGATTTCAATTTGTAATGCACAAAGCAACAAGAAATCACATTTGACAGTTACTCTGGATAATCTATAAAAGTTACTGTCAACTAATTTCAGTTGGACTGTTTTAGCCAGTTTGGCTCTGGAGGGCAAAGTCAGTTTCACTCAAACTAACATTTCTCAATTATTAAAACTTTGTACAGACATTTGTTTTACCCACATAATGAGTAATATGAGCCCCTTGACCTTTCCTCAAGTGCCAGCAGAAGGCTGACATTTGTTAGTGAATTGCTTCTCCAACTACTGGATGGATTGCTATTAATTTGGTACAGTCATTCTGGATTTATAACATTTTATTTCATAGGTCCTTGATTTTATTCTATTCATAAAGGGCTTTTGAACTGCTCTTAGTCTGACCCGTCAGCCAGGACCTGTTTGCCTTGGGAGACCCTACCAGGGGCATATAGCCCCCGACAACATAGCTTCTAGGATCACTCGGGTACTCAAACCCCTCCACCACAATAAGGTGGCGGTTCAAGGAGGGGACATTTGATGCAGTGTAATAATAACATAGTTAACATTGTAGCTTTTCTAAATCAGACTGATTGGCAGAGAATATATATTTTATTCTGTATGGATGGGGTCCAAGTCCTAACACTAATACAATGCATGTCTACATCACAACATGTAAACGTCACAGAGTGACATAGATTAACATTTATTTTTCATGCCCAGGTGCAAAGCTAGATGAATTTGCAGACTTCACAACCTTCGGGATTGCCACATCATTGCTCCTGAGGACACCTGACCTGCTGGATAACATCCTGAGCATGTGTTATGTCCTGACTGTGCTCATCCGCCTCTGTTTCTTCTCAAGTGGTAGGTTCCAAAATTAAGGATTATTGTGTGTTGTGGGTTATATATTTGATATTGTCTGACAGGTTTATCCCATCAAACATTTTTTCATTGTGTTTTCTCTGTCAGTTTACTCCAGTGTTATTACTTAAAGGACTTGCAGGAGATTTTGTTTGTTTGTTTTAGGGATCCCATTTATGTACCGTGGCCTGCCCTGCGCCTACTCCTCATGCATCCTGGCCAGTGCCTCTCTGCTGCCAGGGGGGACCGTGGCCATGCTGCAGGTCATTGCAGTGGCCATGATCCTCTTCATGATCAGTCAGACCTTCTACCCCCATGACAGAGTGCTGGAATCCCAGGCCTGGAAGAAAGTAGTCTATGCTGGAGGTAAATCCAACTCATCTTCTCCTTTGGTAGACAGTACAGATGCTGAGAGTAATGTCTGCCAGGTAGATAGGTGTTGTGGAAAAATTACCTTTTAAAG